ATGAGGGTGTTTGAAAGCAGGGTGTTGAGGAGAATACTTGGACCGAAGAGAGATGAAGTGACAGGAGGTTGGAGAAAACTGCATAATGAGGAACTTCATAACTTGTACTCTTCTGCAAGTATAATTAGAATGATCAAGTCAAGGAGGATGAGGTGAACAGGGCATGTAGCACGAATGGGTGGAAGAAGAATGCATGTAGGATATTGGTGGGAAAGCCAGAATGAAAGTGACCACTGGGAACAACAAGACGTAGGTGGGCGGACAATATTCAAATGCCTCTTAGAGATATAGAATGGAGTGGTGTGGACTGGATTGATCTGGCTTACGATAGGGACCAGTGGAGGGCTTTTGTGAACATGGTAATGATTCTTCGGGTTCCATAAAGTGTTGGGAAGATCTTGAGTAGCTGCACAATTGGTGGATTCTCAAAGAGAACTCAGCTCCATGAGTAAATGAAATATAAATACCTCTTTGCTCTCAGGCGAATTACCCAAGAACATTATTCCATACTACGTTAAAGAGTGAAAGGAAGCAGAATAAATTGACTTGAGAGTGTCAATGTTGCTGATATGCAAAACAGATCTAACTGCTTTGGTTACAATTGATCCATATGAGCTTTCTAGTTTAATTGATTATCAAATTGAAAACCAAGGAATTTTGTGTTTACTGTCTCTTCTTATATATTTATCATTATATCCATTGTGGTGAATTTTTTGTTATAAATCTTATTACCTTTCTTTTATCCAGATTTAAGGGCAGTTTTTTTGCAGAAAACCGTTTATTCATTTGAGATAAAACGTTGTTTCATTGTGTGCAGAAATCATCTAAAATTTTACTAGAAACTGTCACACTAGTATCATCAGCAAATATTATGGGTACTGATGAGGTGTTTAGTGTAGGGCGGAGGCCATTTGTATAGATTAGGGAAAGCAGAGACCCTAAAATAGACACCTGGGGAACTCAAGCTTTATTGTTCCCCAGTTCTAGTAGGTAATTTAGCTTTAATTTGGTGATTTTATTTCAATATTTGTCTTCTAATTGTTGGATAGGATCTGAAGCAACTTGAATGCCAAAAAGAAAATGTAATTTAGCTAATAAAATTTCGTTATTTACACAGTAAGAAGCTTTTGCCAAATCACATACTATTCCACCAACATTAATCTTTTGATTAATAGATTTTTAAAATACTCTCTGTTAACTTGAAGGCTTCATTTTCAGTTGATGTTTCTTTCCTGAAATAAGTGTGTTCTGGGTTCAGTATATTATTAGTTGGCGAATAATTGCTTAACCTGTTGTGCACTTTATAGAAAGTAGTTAATGGAGAAATTGGCGTTTAATTCAACGTACTAATTTTGTTCCATTTTTTGTACAGTGATCTTACTACTGAATTATTAAGACGATCAAGGAAGATCCCTGTGAATAGTGAGTGATTACAAATGTGAATTAATGGGTGGCTGATTATAGATGTAGAAATTTTTAAAATTTTACTTGTTATTCAGTCACAACCTGATGAATATTTTGCTTTGAGGAAATATTTCAATTTCAGTGGTTAGAATGGTCTTAATAGCAGGGAAGTTTCTAGGAAATGCCTCCTTTAAAAATGAAACGGCATCACCTCTCACTTTCTGATGTAAGTTTAGATTTTCAGTATTTTAAAGAAAAAAGTATTGAAGACATCAGCATAACTTATAAGGGAGATGGTATATGTTCAGTCAGATGTAATTTTCTTCTCTCATGTGTTACGTTTATTATATTCCAGGTTGTTTATCTGATTATCCAATTTTACTTTAAGTCTCCTGTGGATTATTACTGCTTCTGCTATATATATACAGACTGCTCTTATGTTTGCAAGATATTTTTATTCCTTATGTATTCCAGTCCTTCTTATTCTACTTACACTTTTATTCTGAACAAGAGAAATAGCTTTAAAGGTATTTAGAAAAATATATAAAAAGAGTTAAACTTATAGTTTGTGTCCTGTTTTTGAAAACAGGTTCCCACATTTTATTTCTAACAGATCCTGAAGTTGAGCTATTATTTCATTATTTAATTGTCTGGTTCTCTGTTTCACTTTTATAGTAGTATTATTTACTGTAAGGAACTTAGCATTGTCGTCTTAGAGGCTGTTGACTGTAGGAGATGAACAAGAGGAGCTTAACCTTGCATTTCCTATACAAATATTTTCATGGTTGTACAGGAGGAATTTTTAATTCTTGTTACAAAATTCACAGTGTGTGATAAATAGTATGTCTTTAGTAAAGAGTTTACTTATTTTTATTATTATTTTCATTTAAGTAGTTTATGTTTTAGATTTAAATTGTACAGATATTTGAAAGTTGCATCTAGTCTCCTCAGAAATTCATTGACCTCTCCTGACGGTGCTCTGTACAAGCTTAATACAATTAGTTGAGATGTTTTAGTTACTAATTGAATTGCACAGATTTCAAAGCTCTACTCCTTACAATGATGAGAAACATCAAGTTTACTGAAATGTTGATATGACCTAACAAAAATACACTCACCTCCCTTCTGTACATCATTTCGACATAAGCGGAAGCCTAATAGGTAACCACAAATTTCGCATAAGTGACTACACTAAAACGCGATTAAAAGCGGGGCCCCAAGATTTTAAGGTAACTAATCATTTTACGTTCACTACAACAGATAGATAGTAAGGGGATTGAATTTAGTTACTTATAGAAGGGGTTTGATTTGGAGATGATTGCATTTATACACCTAATTCGTGAATACAATTAATTATATCACCATCACTATTTCAGAATTTTAAAGTTCACCTTTACACACACACTAGTGTCCTCAGTCTTAACTAGTCGTATCCTGGAAACGGATTTATGAAATTCTCACTGCCACTGCAGCACACATACATTTTTCTTTGCACAGCCTAATAACTTTCTTGCCATTTCTCAATCATCTTCGACTGCCTACTCCAGAGACTTCCTCAATTCTATCTCTCAGCTGGCCTGATATCCTTGTTGTATAGCCTCGGGACGCCCCCCACGGAAAACACCGCTTCCTCTATTGTTGCATATTGATTCACTGCTACAGAGATGCTTTTACCGTCCTGTTGCGTAGCAATGAGCGCGGCGCGGACCACAGAAAATACCGCTCTTTTCTTGTTAAGCGCTCTCGCTTCCGCGGAAATGTGCTTACTGAGCCGTTGCCTAGCAATGAACTATTCTGGCTTTCAGGCGTCATGTCACAATATTTCATCAGATAATGAAGACTGTGGCAATAGCGATAATGAGTAGTGGTGACTCCAATGTGGGCAATAATGAGGCTTTGTGAGTTGAAATGTTCGCAGCTTCCGGAAATCACGCAGGGTGCTAAGAATTTCTTACCTTTTTTTTAACACTTCGGAATGGGCAGTCGATGTCAGAGCCAGTGAGGTGTAAATGTTCCATAGCGCACAGCAGCAAGTTTACAGCGGAAAGTGTCTACAGACTCTCTGCAATTGTCAGTGCAACTGCCATGTT